GGTGACATTTTCACTTCACTGAATTCTCGTCTCCGGTTAGCGCCCACATCGATTGGCCACTCGACTCTTTTCTGTTGCTGCTCCCTATCCCTATCACTCAGAAGAAAGACACAGCCACAGAAATTACTGCATTGCCGCTGTGCCATTATGTGAGTGAGTGAGTGTGTGTGTGTGAGAAAAATGTCGAGACATTAGTCATTGTAGGGCACAAGGAACACACAGGAAGACTTGGTGTGTGAATGCAGAGACACAACGCACACTTTATACCTTTAATGCCACTTGGTGCATACAGCAGGGTAACACGTAGAAACACTCCACATCTAGACAATACAGACAATATCACACACTTGTAATGCGTTTGTGTGAGAGTTAATGGAATAGACACACAGCCTGTTTTTAATGCACATAAGCACAGTAGCACAAAAAGTAGTGCAGATAGGCATGCACACAGGCTCACTCCATCATTTTATCAGGCGGGTCTTTCTAATGCCACCATCCATATAAATCGTGATGGCTGGATCAGGCTGAGATTTATTGCTGTCAAGCTTCAGCCTGTCCAGGGGCAATATATGATCCCTGCTCTGAAGCAGAGGTTAGAGATCAGAGTTATGATGTTGTAGGAATGCCTGGATATCTTTCTCCTTTCTGCCTTACCTTGTTGTTAAAATATGTTTGTGATGATGGTGAATGAATCGAATGTCACCATTATCAAAGGAAGCAATGTGTCTTTGTTTTTGCATTTTTTAGTGCACAAGAATATAACTTTATATTTATTTGTTAACTTCTTTTGCATGCTTTTTTTCAGGTCCAAACTGGGTCTTTTTCAGTCAAGAATTAGTTTACAGAAAGCAAGTGTGAAGGTAAGGGGGCTCACTCACAAAGACACTAAACACAAAGCCATGATACAAAAACAAAAATGGTTGTTTCTCTTCGCTTCCCTAATGAGTGCAGACCTTAAAAAGAGACTCACTTAAAGCTTAAAGCCCTGGTCTGTTACTGTAATGCAGTACTGCAATAATGTGTGTCTCTCATTTCATTCCAGTTGAAAGCTAAGAGAAGTGACTGTAACTCCAAGGCAACACAGGCCAGGAACGACTACTTGCTAACGCTAGCTGCTGCCAACGCTCACCATGACCGGTACTACCATACAGATCTACTGCACTGCATACAGGTATTTAAATGAAGATGAATATACAGAATTAAAAGATGTGAGTAGTGTGAGAGAGAATCCTCGTCCTATGCCATAAATGTGGACATTTGAGTAAAACTGCGCATTTTATATTGAATCTAGGCAGCTCAAATGGCCGTTTGCGATGCTGTAACGACATTTTCTTTTACTACAAGTACTCACTTAAGAGTCTCACGCACTGATAATACCTCGAGGGATTTTCCAGGAGACACGTTTTCTGGTTCCAAATTTCAAAGTGGGGAGCCTCTTTGAATTAAACCTCAATTTGGGATAAAATGTTTTCCTTTTATGAGTACACAAAGTCAGCTTCCCTTTCTATATAACTGAAGTAGTTGGAGGGGGAAAGGCATACATGAAAAAGTTATGATTTCACAGTTTTGAGTCTTCAAAGAAAGTCACAGAGTTCTCTGGATTTATTATTTGAAAGGGGCTTATGTGAAGAAAAATCCTACAAAATGAGCCATCCTTGCCAAATGATTGCTAGGCATAAAATGATAATTCTCACAATGTTGAATGAACTGTACCAAGAGGAATTCTCAGAAAGCTTTGACATAGTTTGATATTTAAACACTGTCTGGTCCTCAAAGGCAGATAAGTTTTCTGCATCGCTGATGTTTTCTTTTTCTGCTCCACATCTGGCCCCCTCATACGACACGCAGCTGTGCATTACTGTGAACTTGAATGTGTGTTTGTCTTTTCTCAATATGAATGCGTGATGTAGGTTTCATGATTTTAGTAATGTACTTAATTGTGAGTCATCTCAGTTGTAACCCCATTACTGTAAGTAATCACGTTCTGCGGCTTAAAGCATTAATAAGTTGCGACTCAGAAGCCAATTTGATGTCACCCCTCACAGTTATTTCATCAGCGGTAGCAATCGGCTGTTTGTGTGTAGAAACGTTTTGTACTATCTGGCACTACACAAACCTTCTGGCACATGCACAGAATCAAAACACAGGAAGAAATTAAGGCTGAAATATCTGCATGCCATTGTGCTCACAAGACAGGAAATCCAGGTCTGTTAATTCCTGTTGACTGACCACAAAAAAATCCACCCAAACTGAGACAATGATACTTGGAGTCTTGCCTTATTCTGGTAATAATCTAATTATTTGTGTGGACGCAAACACGTAGGTACGCATGAAAGGCATCCACATCCACACACGCAAGCTGACAGTCTGCACAGACAGCCACACCTCGGCTACTGTGTGCAGTAAAGGAGCTGAGTGATGTCATCCTTTCTAAACACTGTACAAACATGCTGTCTGACAAACACACATACTCACATGTGGGATGTTTTCATTGTCAGACAGCCATCAGTCTGACACAAGACTCTGATTTGGGGGTTAACACACACACACACACACACACACACATGCAAGACATGCATATTAGAGCAGCTGGGCGACTTATTTTTCTTGTCTGTTTAAACCATGAAATGAGTTGCAAATAATTCAGAATTAATATAATATTAATCGGCCATTAATGTTCCTCTTCTATTTTATGGCTTTCCGTTACTTCTTCAGATGCTCTTCCCTGTCTCTTTGTTTTTGTCTCAGATCCTCTGCCTCAGGCGTGTATGGGCATCTATACTATGAGGCCATTCTGAATAATAGATCCTTAGCTCCTTGTGACAGAAGGACAGGACTGCGGGGAAACATGCACGTACACAAATACATGTACGCAAACACACAAAAAGCGAATGAGGGACATTGCCAGAGGGAAGCAATCTGCTCGCCCTCTCCCCCTCCTCTGCAGTTTTTTTTGTGGTGTTTACAGGTCTTCACCTGACAGTCACTGATAACACAGCTCCTAGCAGGGGGACCAAAATCTACAACTCAGGAAAATACCAGTGCTTTTCACAGTTCCAGACATGTTTTGCTCCACAGAGATAGGTTGAGAAACACAGCACAAAAAGCAGCATCAATGGCACATAAGAATAATAGCAGACTAGGGAATATATGCATAATCAATAGAACCCAGAAAACAACAACTCCGTTTTTTTGGCTTCTCTGTTTTTTAGCACTGTCTCCATTTCCAACAGTAATTACATTCCTTCTAAGAAAACAATTCTCTTTGCATTTTCATGAGCACCATCATTGGATCTGGCCATGGGAGGACATTTTCGAATATACTAATAAATTTCATTGTATATGTTACAGTCAGAGGTGGTAGTAATCATATCCTTTACAAAGTAAAAGTATTAGTACACATTATATAACTTTCAAGTAAAAGACCTGCATTTAAAAACTAAAAGTAAAAGTATGTAAGTTAGTATGATCAGAAAGATCTTCTACAATTAAAGTAGTTAAGGATTATGCAAATCATATATTATATCACTAGATCATTGTTACTCGCATTAATGTGTAATATGTACATGTTGCTGTTGTTGGTTGAGGTGTGGCTAATTTGAACTATTTTGGATAGAACTGCAACTATTGATTATTTTAAATCAGTAAGAGGTGAGAAATGCTGTCATAATTATAGAGCCTAAAGTCACACCTTTACAATGCTTGTTCTGCCAAACCAACTGTCCAAACCTCAAATTACAAATCGTCTCACTTTGGAAGCTTTGGCAAATGTTTGCAATTGTTTCAGATCTACTTACTATATTGTTAGGTAGTTTAATTTATAACAAAAAGAAATATTTTCAAATATTTAATTTGTTAAGTGACCAGTAACTTAAGTTGTCATTAAAAGCATTTGTGCATTAAAAAGTACAATATTCCTCTCTGTACTGTAGTGGATTAGAAGAAGATTGTGAAAACAAAATACACGAGTAAAGTACTTGAACAAATGTAACCACTGGTTATAGATTTAATTCAAACGGAAGTTCATGAGCTCTCTTTAGCTAGATCAAGACCTTTTCTGTCTTGAATGTTCAACCACACAATGTCAACCACATAGAAGAAGATAATTAACCAGATGTCAAAACATGTCTTGAATATAAATGAGCAGTTGTGTAGACAAGAGGGATGAAGAGACTTGTAATTGAAAGCATTGTTTGGATCTGAAGTTCACTTCATGAATACTGACTGCACCGACTGTATCTGCAGGAATAACATATATGTTACGCTGAGAGCTACTGTCCTTGTCAATGCGACAGTTGTAGTGAAAGGGCAGTGTGGGAACAGACTGCTCCACGTCTCCCTCTGCTGTTTGCAGCCGATGCTCTTATAACTGTCTAACTGCTAGACACACACACACTTACACTTACACCTCTGCTGCCCTGTCTGGTCCACTGTGCTGTACTTATTGTTCAGGCTGATGCAGTCATTCAACCCAAACACACACAAAAACACACACCCTCTGACCAGTGATATCAGGACGGGGGCTTTTTCTGGAAGCTGACTCACTCTCCGTTTCAACACTACCGTAAATGGATGAAAGAAGGAGGGGAGGAAGAGAAGAAAGGGGGAGGAGGAAGGAAATGAGCAGAGTGATGAGGGGACATTTAGAGAGAAGTCAGCCAACAATCCACCCTTAATGACATCATTTCCTTGTCAGTTTCTCATTGTTTTAGTCTGTTGATTGTGTGTGCATTTGTGGGGTTTATTAATTCAGTGTAGGTGTGGGTTAGTGGGAGGTTACAGACTTGGCCTGAAACATCCCTTGGCCGGCACAGTGTGAGTGCAGGTTTGAGAGTGTGAGCTTTTATAAAGTGCTTTGGCTAGAGGAGAGTCTGAGTATTTGAGAGTGCGTATGTGTGTGTGTGTCTGCGGTCTCTGTGTTTTGTTGAATTGGAATCTGAACCCCTTCACCTTCCCTTGCAGCTGTTAGAACGCTATCCAAAGAACACTTTACACACACACACACACACACACACACACACTGGTCTCCGATACACTAATTTCTCTCTGTCTGCCTGTTTCTCTCTCTTACTCTTTTATACCCTTTTTAAAAGGTATAAAAAAAAGCTCACTCGTCCTCTCTTACCTCCTCTTCTCCTCCTCTCCATTAGCCTCTCTCTTTTTCCTCTCTGTCTGATCTGTCTGTTTGGCAATGTGGCCCACAGCTTGGCAGCAGTACTCCAGCCTCCCCATAGAAAGGCTGTTCATTTGGACTGCATACTTCATTAAAATGTCTTTATATCAGTGCATCAGAACCTGTAATGATAAGAGCTGTCTCATGAAAACATCTGCTTGGTTCTGTCCTTCCTTTGGCTTTCTGCTCCTGCCTCTTATTGTTTATCTCACTGTCTTTCTCTTCTCTATTTCTTTTTCTTTCTTTCTCGGTTTAGTTTTATTCATAAAAATCTGTGTTCAGTTATATATTATATATTGAACTTTTGTTCAGGGTTGGCAGCAACTCCTGGCTACTGATGATGTGTGTGTGTGTGTAAACCTAATTTACACACTAATCCGATTAAAGCTCAGTGGAGCTAGGCTTGAGATCACATAAACTCTCTGAAAACTATAAGAATGATAATAGTGAAAGTTGTCCCGCCCTAACAAGTGCAACAGAACTAACAGGAGAGTGAGGGAGCTGTCAGTCAATAACAGTGGGTACACGCCCACACATTCTTGAGAAGAGGTCTAATCAGACAACATAAGTGAAAACACTTGTGTGGGTGGACAATAGGTCATCCGATGGTGACCTAAAGGCACATACAAAAATGTGTCTATCTTGTCTTGACTCACAGTTTAAGTGGTTTTGATAGCTGATATTGTGTAAAGATTGGGAAATATGCCAAGTGATGCATGAAGCTTCTTGTTTTCAGTGGAACTCATATCTATGCACTGTCAGATAGTATGTTGGTTAAGGCTGTGTCTATTCCTACAATATATTCATGACTATGTAAATATACATTTAAATAAGGATTTACGTCTTTAGGAGAAACAATGTTTTAAAGTTTTACTGCACTGCCTTTTTTGCGTTTAGTTAAGTTAAACATATATAACACATGTAAACTACACATGCTGAAGGTTAGTTTTTCCTCCAGACTCAAAATAACAATTGACAGGAAGAACACAGGCCTCCAGTTACAAAATAGTTTAGGTTAAGCTGATAGCTGGGAGTTTATTGATGATGCTGGTGTGTAGAAGAAAAACCAGTATACTGCTAAAGCTTTTGTAGTAAGTGGCTTTATTCACCTACCCTTTTTTTCTTCCTCTGTCTGTCTCTTTCTTGGCGTGTCCTCCTGATTCCCTTGTACTCTCTACTTTATTATTAAGGATTATGGAATTACATTGAATTAATCCATTCTTCACTGTAACCCCTGGTCCTTCTCTCTCTCTGTCCTCTAGGCCTTGGATGGCAGGATCTATGAGCATGTGAAAGACTACCTGGTAGCACTTTGTCGTACCGAGCTAGAAGCCTCCCAAGCCACACACAACACCTTCCAGTTCCTGTTGGACAAATCCACCAGGGTGAGTGAGATGTGGTGAGAGACACAGACATTCTGCACTCATTTGTAAGTTAGTACTTGTAGAGAAATGCAGGGTTTTTTGGTTTCAAAACAGATGCTGTGGGGGATATATCCATCAATCTTCTTCACATCATAGCATGATCAAAGTGTTTTTATTGCAAAAACAATGTGTATTTCTTCAGTGAAATAAATGGGACACCTTGACATTTTGAGTTCATTTGTTATTACTAGGCACTATTTCTATTGCGGTAGGGGAATTGTGCCTAAGCGTGGAGTTTTGAAGCATTGTTCACACACAGCATTTTAATAAAAACAAATTCAAACTGAGGAATGTAGAAATGCTAACAAGACATTTGTAAGGAAACCAAAAGACAGTGTATAAGAAACGATACGATGCAGTACGAAAACTGTTTGTGTTGTCTGTGTAGTCTACGCCAAATGAACCAGAAACCATTCTCACCGTGATTGGTTTTCATCAACACAGTGTGTGCAGGCTAGTTAACGGAACAGTTGAGTTCAATGTCTCTCAATACATCGTGACCTGGAGCTGCTCGGCAGGCTCAGTTCTTACCAAGAGTTATATTACCTTTTGTACTTTCTGTCAGACATTGTGACCTGACCTGGATGCCATTAAAGTGATGCTCAAAACATCAAACCAAAAATCGACGCATGAATATGAAATACTTACCGACTGTAGGCTTGAAGTGTGGCTGTAAAACGTTTGTAGTTTGCTTCTTCACGGGGAACAGAGGCTGCGGTCAGCGTGAATTGTCTGAGGTCACGATGGATTCCAATGTCCAAGTTTTCACAGTAAAGAAACTTGCATGCGTACACGATTAACTCCTTCTGTCTTCCTCTCAGATAATACAAGAGTTCAACCAGCAGATGTTCATGCAGGAGAACCCAGTGTTTCACAAAGCACACGACTTCCAGTTCCAGCCCAGCGAATGTGACACGGTGAGACGCACATAGCTGCACATGCATCCACTGTAGTATTAATATCCATACAGAGGCAGCTCTGGGCTCTGTTGTGTTTAGAGTAGTTTAATGTTGAACGTTTATTGTTTGTATATGAACCTGTTCACATAGCAGTAGAGTCACCCTGTCTCTCCCTGCCTGTCTCTTTAAAGGCACACACACGCTGAAGACAATCAGCCTCTTGTGTCGCCACATTCAGGCTCTTTCTTTTTTTTCTGTCCCCTCCAATATTGTATTTTATAAGTGTTCTCATAAAGTTCTCAGCCCATCTCAATCAGCTGGATCACTGAAACAGAATTAATTTACGCTCATTCTTATGATTTTAAAGAATGCCATTAATACATCTGGGGCTGAGAGGCTTGCCAAGCTGGAAATCAGAAAAACCAAAGCTCCAAATCATTCTTGTTCTCTAGAGAGATGTTTGGCTCTTTTGTTTTCAGCCTTTGGAGATTTCTTTATATTAACAAGTCAGAATGGAGTTATCCAGTTAACTAGTGTCTGGTGACAGCATGATAGCAGCATGAATCTGCTCTGTGTTCTAATATTAACCATTTCAACGGCAAATGTTGTGTGTCCACTGGGAACTTTTCTTTGTAGTCCTGGCTTTTCATTGTCATTTACATAAGCTAAAATGTTTTTGTCAAATCAAGTGGTTGCTGAATGTTAAGAATGTTTCAAATTGTCGTAAATCGATCAGCGCCGGTGGGATTCATGCTGTCTCAGCCCTCTTGGGGCCTTGTTAGGTTTTGCTGGATAAAAAAAGAGATGGCTCCCAGTGGACATTGGTCCTAATTCCTCTATAGCTATCCTTTTCTCCTGTGTCTGAGTCATTTTGTGCTCTCTTGTTTCTCATATTCTTTTCCTCTATCACTCTCTCTCTCACTGTGTTGTGCCAAATTTACTTTCCCTCTCTGATCTTTCCCTTTTCTTTATACATAAACTGGTGCTCTAACATTTCTCTAAACAACAATGTGCTATACCTTCCCTGTGTCTTCCTAATCCTGTTCAACCTTTGCTAACACTTTTCCCTGAACTTTTTTTCCATTAACCCCCTCCTTGTATTTGTGTGTCCGTGTGCTTGCACTGCTGCTTTTGGGTGTGTGGGTGTGCGGGTGCTTGCCTGTGTGTATGTGTGTGTGCCAGACTCTGAGCTCGGTGCAGCAGTTGGTGGACATTGAGCCGTCGCCCGTCAGTGCCATGAGAATGACCCTGGCACAGGTAGTCTTAACTGTTGTTAGCATTCCCATCTTCATTCCTGACATTAAACCATGGATCATCTACTCCATTCATCTATTTATCTGTCTGTCCTGGTGACATTCACTTGAACATATACTGTATGTATTGCCTAACAAAGCCGTGGTAATTTATTTTCATTTTGTTTTGCTGTTGCCCTACGAAAATGACTGTTGGCGGCTGTTTTTGTGCCCGCATAATGATCATTTTTGGCATGTGCTCACAACCAAACACATCGTAAATACATGTGATTTACTGTAGATCAATAGATTACATATTAAAATGAATGTAAAATCCTGGGTTATGCATACTCTAACTTGTTAAAGGCCTATCTGCCGGTTGTTATTATACATAACCATGCTTTAGGAGGAGACACATTAACTGTAATAAAATACTAACTTGGCCAAGTCACTGACATGACAACACAATGTTAAAACATACACTAAATGCCACTCTCCAAAATAGCCTGAAGTATAATGTGCTAAGGTGGACAGCTGCTTTCTTCCATCCTGATTGATGTCAACAAGACGAACCTTTACATCCTAATTATCCTTCCTAGTAAGCAGTGTGGCCCATCCTTGTTCCCAAATAGAAAGTAGTGTAGCAGTTGCAGCACGTCTAGCCAGCTTCAACACAAAGACTCCTCACACAGGAGACTTTATTACTCTTTGTTCCTCTTCGCAAATAATGTTCAGGACCATAACCATAGAAATAACGTGTGCAAGTTTTCCTCTTTTACTTAATGATTCAATTTCTGTAAATATTATTGCCCCATGTCATAGTAATATGCCCATGAATGTTGTATGCTGCTTCATAACTAAAACAGGTGTGGCTACAATTACATCAATGACATCATGACCACTGTTGGTGTAAAAGATAAGAATAAACATGACAATAAACATGACATATGTATGAGGCTCTGAATGATTGGTTTAGATGTATTTGGTCATAACGTTAGTTTTAACTTGGGTGTAGATTTCATTTCAACAGTGATATCAGACCAGATTAAAGAACAGCAATTGTTTCACATGTTTCTTATTTGATACTTAATAAACTCATAATTCTGCAGACAATTATGAATTTTCCTTCCTACCATTACCCTTGTGATTGCAATTGGATACATTGTGAGACAAATAGTTACTTACTTAGCTTTATTTATTCAGGAGATCTCATTGAGATCAAGATTATTTGCAGGAGAGAACAAATTAAATATAGACGAAGAACAGAAATTGTGTATGATTGTTTTCAAATTAAAAACAATCATAAACTTTGTTAGAAATATAAACTAGTGATTTAAAGTTTCTCAGAGGAACTAACTTCAAGCTGTGTTGCAGTTCATTCCAGTAATAAGATGCATATTATCGGAAACCAGCCTCCCCCAGTTAAGAATTGGTATGAGGAACTTTTAAAACCACCGGTGATCTGGTGTCTAATAAGCCATTACTATAAATAAAATTTTCAGAGCGATGTCATCAGTGAGATTTGTGCACACAAGGGGTACAAAAACAAACCAAAATGACTGACAGCATATGAGGAGATCAGCATGGGGAGTTGCTTTTAGGCCTTAAACTGCATTAATAACAAAAGTAATAAGTAACAAGTAAACCCAGTTAGTGAAGGTGCCTATATGCCCTGAAGTCATCTTTAATATGACTTTATATCCAGTGTTGAGTATAATTTCAGGAAAGAGCTGGATGTATTTTCATACATGGTAGTGTTACTTCTATTTGCTATGCTAACATTTGTTGTCTGGTTAAGTGGAGGGACACTCACAGGTCATTTCTCACGCTAATGTAGAGCTAACATAGTGTAGTCAGGTTCAGCATTATCACTGCTGCTACCTGCCGTTTCTCACTAAAATATGTGTCATGTTAGCTAACCAGAGCTTACTAGAAGTTTGGGAAATGCAAGGATGAGTGTTACATACAATTTTACCTCCAAAAAGCAAGTAGTAATATAATTTATCATGACATTGTAGAATGTAGAGTTTTAAATTCTGTTCGTTGCGTTATTATTACTATAAGAGATCCTATCGTCTCCCTGCAATGTCTAGCTGCTCCATGATAATGAAACAAGAGAGCCACATTTGGATTACTAAACACCTTAAAACAGCGGCTTCACAGCACCGTATTACTGTCACACTGTCATGTGTTGGTGAGCAATGTAGTCCAAGAATCAGATGACTCATGTAATGCAACCTTGTTGTTGTTGCATCATCTTTTGATATCACACTAAATGAGTCAAATGTTTGGTGTGTGTGATTTTTATTTGCACGTTTGTAGTGTGTCCTGGGTCACCGCAAGCAGAATGACCACCTCTGTACTTGTTTTGTTTTTCCTTTTGTTGTTTTTTTGTTGAATATGTGAATATTCTTTCTTTGTTAGATTCTGTGTTACCTCACCATTACCAAACAACCACACCAAAATCAAGCTACATGATTAACGTAAATAAGTTTTAGTATTGAGTAAGTTCTGTCCAAATAATAAGGAAGTCTATTCTTTTTAACATCTGCAAGCAGCAACCCATAAAACATTAAATGTTGGCTACACAAGTACTGAATTTGAAATTATGCTATCCAAGACTAAAACGGAATTGGATGAAGGATAAAGCGATTCTGTTTTCATTTACAAGCAGTTCTTTACCTGTACACATATTGTTTAGGAATCATAGGTATTAGGATAACACCTTTTAATGTGTCTTTTATTAGCATTAATGCACGTAATAAGTCTAATCATAGCAAAGCGTTTCCCAGAGCGAGAAGACACTGCTGTCTCTTCTACTGCCGGTTGTGCAGACACCTTGCAGTCCTGGACTCCCACTGCTTTTAAAAATCAATTAAAACAGCTCTTATAGAAATACTGCTGCCTGTGATACAGGTGCTGTTCAACGTGATGTATTATATTCGTCAAGACAGTGGTGTTTCTCTGCAAGCTGTGCAGAGAGATCCTTTTTTAGAAAACAATGGGGGCCTGTTACTTATGTCAAATGATGCAAACCTGCAATAGAAAAGACAGTTGTTACTGTGACGCAAAACATCATTGGGTTTAGAGCTTTTTTGGCATTTTGCCTTATAGTAATATGATAGGAGAGACCTACAAGTGTTTAGAGTGAGGGGAGAGGGCACAAGTCCTCGGCTGCAACTGAACCAGAGATGTTGGCATCACGTGAATGAAAAAATCAAAAAAATAATGAGAAAATTTGACTTTTAAACTTGCACTTTGCTACCGGTATATTCTATTCTTCCCATTCACACAGTCAGCTACACGACTTTGACACAGTCCATCCTTTCATCACCGTGGTTTCCAAAAAACACAGTTGTTCTACACAGTGCTCTAAATGACTGTTATTATGACAGTAGAGGTAGTTATTGAAGTGCAGTATGATCACTCCCTTTTGACTTCACAATTCCCCTAGCTGGCAGGCTGACTAGCCATCATTTTGCCTGTTATCACATTTACAGTAGTTGCTAATGATTTATCATTTGGCCCTGATTTAACAAATTCTTATTTGACATTGGCACATTAACACATTCAGAATGCAATCTGACTAACATAGGTCATATTTGCTAAAGGTCCCCACTACATCATGATAATTGGAAATAAAATAAATTGATATTTTGTACTAAACTGCACTGTCACTTAATGTCCTATATTAGCTGTTTCACACTGCTTACTAGCTTTAGGGATATATATAAAGCTGAAATACAGAATACAGGATCGACACCAAACACCATCACAGAAAGTCCTTGAAAGGTCACATGACAAGGAGAACACTCAAAGTATTTTGCATGCCAGTATTCATTTTTTCCCCACAACATGTAGATGCTGGTTGGCCACCTGAAAGAAAGTCGTATTTACTCTGTTTACTCCATTAGTATTATACCAGTATTTTTAGCAAACAATCAGTGCACAAATTAGCTGAGCTCCCTCCATGACATGTCAGTTTAGAGGCACTGTTCAAATCTAGTTTTCTGCTTCCCTGCCTTAACTCCCTCCCATACTCCCTTGCCTGAGTGTAATTAAGCTGTAAATCTCCCATGTAATACTCTTCGTTTCACACCTATACTTAGCCAGATTTATGCCCTCTTGTTACTGTAGCAGCGCATAATTAATAGATATGATATGTGCATGGAAACTTGCAATTAAAATATTGTGTACTTTAGTCTGGGTAACACACTTTTATTATCAGATTATGGAAACACCAGCTTCTCAGGTCTGTGAACGCACGCCAGTGACACTGTATCCTGAGGCTCAGTTTGTTTTTGTTTTAAGTAGCAATTTTCTTCTGAATGTAGCCAGAAAATATGTCATTCTTTAAATTTTTGCTACTTATATAAACTTTATAAGCTACTGATATATTTATACAGAATCTACCAACTCTATATGGATGTTAGTAACACTTATGCAAAACAGAGATGGAATTTAAGGTTCTGCAGACAGGGGTTAAAGGGCTGTTAAAAAATTGAAGCAACCAGGACAACGCATTTATTGAGTTATACACCACTGACAGCATATGTAAGAGTTACCCACCGTACTAAAAAGTATTCTTTTTGTTTCCCTAACCCTGTATGACCCATATTTATGGTAGACAATGAAAAGATCTGAGTCACATTTGTAAACAGAGAAGAGAGGAAGACAAGAAAAAAATATTAGGAAAGTCATAAACTAACCTTTTGAGAAATTGATTTTAATAAACAAAATAAAAAGGCAGAAAGCAGCAAAAATACAGTGACATTTCATTTTTGAACAAGGTATATAAATGAACTATTGTAAAATTAAAGCATAGGACTTTTGTTAAGCAGGTTTTTTGTAACAGCTAACCATATATTTTTGATTTGTGGCATGGAAATTAGCTTTTTGTAAAAAAGGAATACAGAACTCTCCCATGTGAAATACAGTTTTTTTTTTTTTACTTCAACTTTAAATTTTCAGGGCCTTTAAAATAAAATGCATGCTGGTTCTTTTGTCGGTAAGTGGTGTATTAGTGACTATGTGTGTAAACTTGGAACAGGAACAAACACATGTAATACATTAGTCTCTGAAAAAACAAATTGCCACATGGTTATAATTGATATTGAATGTTTTATTAGAAAGCCAGGCAGATTCCTCGATAGGCCCATTATGTTCTTTTGAAAGGAATAAAAATGCCATCTGAAAGGCATGTTGCCATACACCTTCTTCTCTATACACACACACACGCATACACACACACATGCTCTTTCACATGTGGCTTTAATAGCAGCTATTTTGTTTCAAGAGAATAACAACAGAGCTTTGCAACACACGCTGTATTAATTACGTTAGAAGGAAACTTTCTCTCACACTTTCTTTAGCTTAATTAACAGCTTCTGCATATCACTCACCTTGTGCCACAATTCCTGTCAGTGTACTTATGTGTGCATTTGTGTGTTTGCCTGCCATGCTGGTGTGTGTGTGTGTGTGTGGGCCTGGGTACGGTGTGGTTTTACCCAGCCTGTCTGGTTATGTATGTTTGTTATGTGTGTGTTTGTCTGTACTAGAGTCGTCAGCTGGAGTCAGAGACAGGGACGACGGAGGAGCACAGTCTGAACAAGGAGGCCAGGAAGTGGGCAACCAGAGTGGCCAGGGAACACAAGAACATCATACATTACAAGAGAGTAAGATGAACACACACACACACATACTGCACATTTGTCACATATACCCAAGACACATACACACACAATGTACTTATGTATTTCTAATAAAGTTGTGTGTGTTGTTTTCAGTGTCTGGAGGAGTGTGAGAGCCATGGCTTGCCGCCCACAGAGCAAGGCAGACTAGATCTGGAGATGAAGATAGAAGACACCAAAGAAAACATGCGCAAAGCTGAGGTATGTCGACATTTATTTTTGATTTTAAAGCCCCTGCAAGGAATTTTCATTTTGTGTTGACAAAAAGCAAGCCGCGGTTTCCACCACCACGCTTCAGCTGATTTTAAAGGGAATCCAACCAAAATCCGACCCGGATGGCAGGGAATTAAGAATTACTGGATAGAAATAGATAAAATGGGTTGAAATGCGTTCTCGCTGATGGTTTTGTTTGTTTATGGAGAGTCATCAGTATTAAATTATATGTTCCCTTAGCAATGTTGCCTCAGTGTTCGCATTAAACTCCACCGTTTCTGTGTCAACTTTGGTTGTCCGCCTTGCCAAAGCTAGGCCCCGGCCTCTAATACCATGTGCATGATACGGCGGTATGGGGAATGGATGGATAGACGTTCTCTCTTTTCTGAACAAACAGAAATGTGTGTTCGAGGGAAAAGGGGGGGGACTGTCTTTGCAGTGAATAGCAAATGTTTTCCCCTAAAATACACACTGTAAAATCTGATGTAACATTGGTGCAGCATTGGCCTTGCTGCATTCTGTGTAGTTGCAGAGATTTAAACACACTTCTCTCTCTCTCAAATCTGAGATATCATATCTAAACTATCAAATCTAATACTATGATTTTCCTTAGATTTCTTGCTCTTTTAGCTCTTTCTTCAACTCCTATGCCTCTTTGTCTTCCCCATCTTGTGTTCACACTCCCTCTATTCTTCCTTCTACACCTCTCAGCCTTTCCACTTGCAGAGATATCTATCATTTATATATTGATTGTCACAGATTCAAACCCGTCACTCACTGATGAGATCACTGCATCATCTCTTATCCTTCTCAACTCGATTCTCTCTCTCCGTTCTCTCACAAAAGTCTCTATATCTGCGCTCTTTTCATCTCTGTTCCTCAATTTCATTCTTCCCCTTCACTTTTCTGAGCTAATTCTCTTCCAAATACTGCCTCTTTGCCTCCTCCTGCTACCTTTCTTATCAGGCTTTCACATATCTAGCACCCTCTGCTGTCAGGTTTGGTCAACATTTCACTTATGATGTTACCCTCTGTGTGATCACTGCTTCAGTATATTTTATTTTATTTCCATCCTCTAAGGTGTTTTTTTTTTAGAGCCTGAGCATATTTTATGTAATTTCACTTATTTTATTAATTTGCTGTTATTTCAGTCTTGTCTTACACAGCAAGAATACTTTAGCAGCACGATCAGTAGTTTGTGATCTCACTTTCCACAAAATAATTATTCATTGCAAAGTGCAAACATGTGACCACTCCACCTTTTTCCTACCCCACCCTCTCTCTCTCTCTC